GAGAGTATTCGTGGGAGTTGAAGTCCACTCATCTTAAAGTGGCCAAGTTTGGACAACACTGCCTTAAAGTGATGTGCTGTGGTCAGTAATGTACAATATGAAAAACATATTACCCATATAATTAGAGCTATGCAACAATCTCAGTTTTAATTTGGTAAGATAGTAACTGTCCCTTGGATATACATTTCTATTTGCATAATCCCAGTGTTGAAGATGAGAATGAATGGCAGGTAAATTCAATTTGTGTGTATGAGTTTTAGCGACCTGATTCTGCTCCACATTCCAGAAATGCCACAAGTACAAGAAAAGGTCAGTATAAGTTACCATCAACATTGCAGTATTGCTACATTCAAGGCTTCTTTCCAAATGGTATCATATAATCTGTAATTTGCCTGGTACCACCAACCTACCGCAACAAGATTTGATATTGTGTTGGAAAGAAGGGAAAAGGTACAGGGAGAGAAACCTATTTAGATCACATTTGAATGCAAACTAATTTATTTTTGCATTTTTAAATCAAAGAATTATAATTCAGAACTTGCAGTCCCCTGTGCTTTACTATGTATGTTAGAAAAGCATTTGTATAAAAATGCATATATTCATGAAAATAATGTACAAAATATACTATATGAAGGAACATTGTTTGTACTTTGCCTGTATGCAATTTTCGTGAACAAAAACACATATTTTGGAGAAAAGTGTACTGAAATACTCACGTAAGCTTTTTTAAAAAGCATATTTGCAAAAAATGAGAAACTGAGAGAAACCAAAATCAAGGGGTTTGCTTATCCTTCGTTTGTGCTGGCTATAACACCCTTTTGTAAATTACTCCCTCAGTGTGACACAACTTAAGATTAGGTTGTGAGATGTTCCTAAAGTTACTTAGGTTTGATTGCCTAATATTTCAAGTATTAAGTACCTACACAAAGGAGAAGACTTAAATAGGCTTCTGTGAACAGCGTGAACCACTTTTCATTCTCTGAACAATAGGCAGGTTGTTTAACATCAGAAATTATTCCTAAACATTTTCCTGGGCATAATATCCACCAATAATGCTAAGTGAGTCCCAAGGACAATGTTAAATGTCTAAAACAGGTAATGAATGCTCTGTCTAGACAATGGATGCAGACAATGTCGTTCATCTTCCCCTGGCTCTGCCATCTGTTAGCAGCTTTGATAGCAAGTGGAAAAATTGTATAATGTCTGCATCTATTATACGAAGAGAGAAATTTAATTAGCCTTGCCTAAACTGAGATCACTGTAAACTTTAAAAAGTCCTATAAATACTTATTTCTAGTTCAAATTAAGACCCAGATGGTGGATTAATTCTGTGAGCATGTACAAAACCAGAGCTTAGTTTTATCACAAACCATAAAGGGAGCATAAACCTCTAAAGCGATCCACATGTTGCCAACATTTTCTCTAGCAAGTCTCCTATGCCTTAAAGAAGGAACTGTCAGGCAGAAAATCATCAGACACAGCTATACTAGTACGCTAATACAAACACTGATGGAAATTTTGTTTGCCATGCAACTGTTAAAAGCACAGGAGTCTGGTTATTGAAAAGATAGTCCTTAACAAAATGTAGTACTCACATGACTGAGCTTTTCCCAGAATTCATGTCCTTTCTCCATCTTTCTCAGGCTAGGAGGAATATACCAGAAGCAAATATTTGCATATTCTGGCTAAAAAGGAAAGGAGAAAAAATCTTCAGAACGTAGAAAGAAAATTGGCCAGACTATACAAATATAAGAGTCCAAATGGGTAGAGAGCAAATATTACCCCAATCGATTCATATACAAACGCACACACAAAATTTTGGCATCAATCCCATTAAAGATTGTTAATCTAATTAAACATTTTTACATAACATCATGATGGTGTATGTAATTAACTATTTGTAAATTCCTGGGTACAGTTTATACCTGTTAAATGTGTATCTTGCATTTTCAGCATAAACCTAGTTCTATGCCATTATCACTTACTTTAAGAAAATACAGATAAATATAATGTAAGCTGTGAAGGAAAAGAAAGAATCTCTGAAACAATTTCTTAAACAACAATAACCTTTGTAGCACATGTTCCTGCTACACAGGCATAATTTGTTTTCAGTATTTCTGATTCTAAATCAGAATGTAGTGGGTAAAAATAGGAAGAGATAGAAGGAAATAGCTAGAGCATACTCTTTTTTTTTTTTTTTTCTGAAAGTGAATGCTATCTCAATTACAGTCTATTCTTCCTCCCAAGTGGGTAGAAACTACTAGCTGTGCTAAATTCTTTCATGAAAGGGCACTGACTCTATTCATAACATCATCTCTGCCTTCCTTCAAAGAATATATTAAATACATTTAATCATCAAGGAGAATACACTTGTCAGCAGGAAGAGATGGCCAAGTGTGTCATCGGCTGTGATGAAATGAAATGAAGTTAAACTTTTTCTCTAGAACATACAGGCTAAAGTAATCTTCCTCGCCTGGAATACTGAATTTAGTATTCACTCTGGTGGGATTAAAAAAAAGATGGAGGTGTCTATTGCAAATTAGCTGAGTATCTTTGTTCAAATTCACACAATCATGTCATTGTCCTCCTTTTCTTCCTTCAGGCCAACGGTTACCCAGTTTTCTACTTGAGTAAAAACTAACTATGGTGCCCTCCTTCTGTGCATTTAAAAAGGCTGCCATGCTGGAATTATGTAAGAGTTATTGCCATTATTTATGCCAGGCTGGGATTGTTTGGGATTTCTTCTTCTAAGTTTTTATGCATGATTTTCAGGTATTATATTGTAAACCACTGAAGTATGGAAGTAACTAAGTTAGTAAAAACAGGGGTTCACACAGGACCAAGCCAAAAAGTAGTTTTGTGCTGCATGAGCCCAGTTACTGTGCCTTAGTGTCTTGTGCAAGCCTAACACATTGTGGTCTATTGTGCCACAATTTAGTGCAATGTGCCAAAAGATCACTGACAGATACCACTGGCTCCTCTTTGGTTTTATTTTACATTCTTCCCTAGCAAGGAGAGACATAAAAAAGTTAAAGAAAACTTTTTTCCTTTTAGGATTGATGGAGACACGGTTAGAAAAGAGTCATGGAAGATTATTTCAATATATGATTATCGTGGAGAGATTATTACATGCACAAAGATGGAAAGATTCAGCACTTCCCACTAAGGAGGAATGGTTGGTGAAATTGACAGATCTTGATGAGATGGATAAACTGACTTTTTTGATAAGAGAAATTACAATTTCTACATTTATTGGCAACTGGCAACCCCTTATGGAATTTTTGTGTAAAAATGGAAAAAAATGAACTTGTGATTTATGGCTCTGATGATTAGACAGGATAGAATATAGAAAGAAGAAAGTCATGAGGTGACTTTAGAGAGAATGGTTAAATATAATTTTACTTATAACTGCTGTGAAGAATATCGGAAGCTATTTCTTTATGTCTTTATATTTTTCTTTATAACTTGCTCTTTTTTCCTATTTTCTTTTTCTATTGCACTTTTAGTTGTTTCTGTTATTCCTTTCTCTCTTTTTTTTCAATTTTTCTGTTTGTTGTAGTTTTATTCTTTTTTTTTTAATCTTTAATAAAAATTATATATATATAAAAAACAAAGTTAAAGAAAACTTCATACAATCAAGGGAAGGTTGGGGGATGGATGGCAAGGTAACAATGGGTATCACAGAGACTCCGAAGTAATGGTCATACATCAGACCCCCTGCCCACCTCACTTAATTTTTTTTAAAGATTCTTTTAATTTAGAGTCCATCTTATTATTCCTTCAGCATCTCGGTTACTGTGCTACTCATGCTGATCCTGCTAGCAGTAATCTATACCTTGAATGAGTGAACTGTGGGCAGTCAATTCTCTGTTAACTTCTGCTTTTCCTGTCAGGTTTGCTTAATCATTCTTTTTTACAAGAAAGGGGCCCTTTTCCTCTTTTCTCTAGAAGTACTGCCTTGAAATTAAAACAAGAAGTCCATTAAAATCCTAGCACTAATTCTAACTGTCAGCAATTATCAGAATCTGCATTCCAAGCCCCCTTATCTAGATAGATGCAATTGTTTTCCTTTTCCTCTGTATGTTTGACACTTTTCACTTATTTTTTAACCATCTATGCGTCTATACTGCCTGGTTTTCTGTTATGCATTCCTAACTCTTTGTTCAGAATTGTATCCATTCCTAACTCCAATTTGAAACACTAGCAAAATAGTATTCTGTGTGACATTGGAAAGCCCTCAACGTTTGTTTCCTATTTCTGCAATTTAAGTTTTTGAAGATTGGATATGAAGGTGTGACAACCCATGCATTTTATCTGCTCTTTGCTGACCTTGAAAGAAACAGAGTTTTAGGAAAGTTCATTGAGAATGGCTCTTGGCATCCTTTAGATATGTGGAGGATATATTGCAGACCAGCCCCACCTGAGGTCATCAGATAGGTCAGAATGTAACACTCATCATTTATAATCAGCAGGGCCAAATGCCATGATGAAAGTTGAAATTCTGTGCAACCAGAGGTCAATTAATGATCATGTTGCTGACAGCTATTTTTTTCTGTAGCCACATTTGATCTGAAAGCATAGCACAACTTATGCTACAGCAGATGTCTTTTCTATTGCCACACTGCATGGAAATTGCAGCTTTATATTTCTACTTGGTCTGAATTGCTGAAAATGTGCACAGACAATAATTTTTCAGGGGTAATGGGACAGCATCAGAGGTCTGGTATTCGACAGAATCTAGTTCCTTCAGGTCCTGAAACACAAGTTTCTGAGACTAAACCACCCTTCCTTTATTTTGGCATTGTTCCCAAAGGGTATTTTCAGGCTTGAACAGAATCCAAATCTAGCTTACCAATGGTCTAGACAACTAAGATCTGTTGTTAATGTCATCAACTCAATGCCAATAAGACAGATTGCAGAAACTATCCTTTTTTGGCACAGAAATGTGCTACAGGACAGCATGCAGAAGTCCATATATTCTAAGCTTGCTATCTCAGTTAAAAGAGACTTAAGCAACCAGGTTTGGAAAGACTTTGCTGAAATGTCTAAGAACAGCTGTAGCTGCAATAGGGAGTTTGAGAGAATGGAATCTGATGCACAGCTTAATATAAAGTGGTTATAAATTAATGTTGTGTGTCTCAGAGAAGAATTATAGGATTACATTCCTGGCTCTTTTACATCCCATTACCCACTCCTCACATTACAGCAGCCTTCCCAATCTGATGACCTCTGATGTGTTGGAGAGCAACTCTGCTCAACCTCAAGTCAACTTGGATGGTACACCAGTTTTGGAAAGGTTAGACTGGGAACTAGAGGACTCATGCCAGTTTAATAATCCCTGCAGAGTTTGGCTCACAAATAATTGGGATATGATATTACAGGCTCCTTACAGATGACAATTTGGAATACTATGAAATTCATAATGAATTCACTGCAGTCACTAGCCTCTAAAGTGCTCAGTTTAGCAAGTAATTAAAGATAAAATCTAAAGCTTTACATATGTTTTATCCCGCAATACTAAAATCTATTGCCAAATATTCTAATCAGGGAGATTTTAGTTTAAGAAATAAAGAGAAATCATTCAATGCAAAGCACCCTATTTTGTTTCAATCCAATTGTTGCCACTTTGTTTCAGTTCAATTACATGGTAAGTGATTACTTACCATCTAAAACAGGCATGGGAAGCAATCAAGCTGATGATCTAAAATACTGCCTACACTTCATACCATTTAGCATTTATTATATCATCAGTTCCAAAATGGTGGTGCAAAGACAGTGCTAAATTGCATTTAATAAACACCTACCTCCAGAAGCAACTGAAATCCTTCTCTCTTCTTAATTTCATCCACTAAGTATCTGAAAAACAGAACAGAAATATCTGGAGTACATTTAATTAACGTACAGATATGAGCAGACGTTAACATTTCAGGTTATCAGATGCACGTATAATTTCTTTCAGCCTGAGGCCCACAGGTAAGGCTAAGTCTCAAGTAGATGGGGTCACTGTTTATTTTTATAATTGTTCCTATATATTTTAAAATTAGCATTAATTTTTGTATTTACTTTTTTAAAATAGCAAAATTTCAAGGAACTGAGTGTGGAGGATGAGTCGTAGGCTTTTTTTTAGCAGCAAAGTCTTTTTGAATGGAAACTCTTTTCTGAGTGGCACAATGTACCCTCCACTGATTAAAAAAAAAAAGCCTGAAACTATTTGTTTGGTTGGTCTTTTAAATTATTCAAATATATAAATTTTCAATATTTTCTTTTAAAAAATATTTGTATTAAAGTTTATATATATAAAAACTAATACAAAACTAAAAACCCTACAAACAAACAAACAAAAAAGAAGAGAAGAGAAGAAAGAAATGTAAAAGGCGACTTCCCCCTCCTTCCAAACAAGTATATATATTAACAGTAACTTAACACCTTCTCTATTAAATTTTCAATATTTTTCAAATTAACAGAAACAGCAATAGTCCATTCTAGGAAACAAACACATACTGCAACAAGTGAATTAGTAAGTATCAGATTTCACACAGGCACTGCTGTAAATCTCTGTTTTTGTGATTCTTAGCCCCTAATTCAGGAATTGGCTCACTCAACATAAGGTTTATTGACACACTTCAGTAAGACTAATCTCTTTGTTGGACTTCCGGGTGAGGTTCAGTGGTGAACTAGACATCCCTGAAGGAGCAGGCACAGCACTGTGGCAGAGACCGGTGTCCAGACAGCGAATTCTGGTTGACAGAATCTCTCCAGACAAGGAGAGACTGTGAGATTGCCCATCTGTACTCCAGACAGCTGCTCCTCATGAGGAGACCGCAGGAATCATGGTTTTTGTGATTGACTTGTTAGTTGAGCATCTGGGAGTCAGGGGATTTCAATCATGCTCACAATTGCAAATGGGCATAAGGTTCACAAAACCCTCACTTTCTTGACCACTACTGGATACAATCAATTTAAAGTTAAAGAGAGATCTTCAGATCGGCAGAATAAGGGAAAATCACTTGGTGAGTCAATCACCTTTCTCAAGATCAAAGAAAGTGAAAAAACAAAAGTTTTAAAGGATTTTAAATTACTAGCAAGGATTAACAAGGATTTGATGTAAGAAAGTTTAAACAGATAAAGGGGACAGCAATTTTGAAAGATTAATTTTTGACTAAAGTGCTTTTGAAAATATTGGAACTAAATAGACAAACTGGACTTTTGTGGGAAAGTTGTTTAATATTAAAGAACACAGTTGATGAATTTTACAAAATAAAGAAGATAAAGGTAATGTGAGACTGATTGTGTGACTGTAACTATGGAATGTCAAATGAGACTAAAGTATTAAAGACATAGAAAGGCAAAACAGAAAAAAAAGTGTGGGGGGGGGGAAGTCTGCCTTTTGTTTCCTTGTAATTGAGACACTTTCACTTTTGGATTACAAAATTAGAATGGCAACCACCAGAAAAGCAGCTAAAGCAGGAGAAGGGAGAAGACAATCGTTAGAGCAACCTACAGAAAGGGGGATCACCCCACAGATGTTGCAGAAAATGTTTGAGGAATCAGGCAAGAAGGTGTCTGAATCAGTTAATACTAACTTGGCAGCTTTTGTAGAGAGAATGAAAGAAAAGAGGAAAGAGGAAATGAAAGAAGAATTTAGGAATAATTTAAGAAGATTGAAGGATCTGTAGGACAAGTTGCTGGAGATGTAAAACAAATTAATGATAAAGTGGAAATTTTGGAAAGCAAGACAGAAGTTATAAACAGAGAGATGGAAATTTTTTAGATAATTTGGCACTATTAGAATTGAGAGAGAAAGAATTCTGCCTGAGATTCAGAGCATTGAGGATTCTGGTGAAGATATCAGAGAAAAGATTGTTAAAGCCTCCTCAATTTTTCTGGAGTGGGATGAAGAGGACACAGAGGTAGAAATCAATAAAGTTTATAGGATAAATACAAGATTTGAAAAATTAAGAAATGTTCCAAGGGATATACTTGTGCACTCTGTCAGGAAGAAGACTAGAGCCCAAGTTCTATAGCAGCATTTTAATACTAGACTGAAGATTGATAATACAGAAGTAATTGTGCTTAAAGAAATTCCAGTTAGAATATTGAAACCAGAACTTTTCCTCCTGGGACTATCTATCTATTCTAAACTAACAGTTAGAAAAGAGCCATGGAACACTGTTTGATGGAAAGATTTGGCAATACCTACAATGAAGGAATGGTTGGTGAAGATGACAGAACTTGCTGAAATGACTTGTTTGCTTAGAGAAAAGACAATATCTACATTTATTGGTGACTGGAAACCCCTTATGGACTTTTTTTGTGTAGGGTAGGAAGATCATTAGAGGTTGGGAGAAATAGAAAGAACAACAGAGAATCAAAAAAATGCAAGACATACAGGAAGGGTTCCAACATGAAAGTCTCAGGAAAACCTACAATATTGCTACTTCTGGAAGTGAAAAAGGATAGACATTTCTATTTCTCCCTCCCTTAAAGGGCTTGCTTAAAGGGCTTGAAACAATGGGAGGGAATACATTTACATCAGCTCCAAGGCTGGCATAGATTACATGCCAGTTTGTAAGCAGATTTGCTGATTTCAAAAAAGCCTAAGAAGGATTGGACCTCTTTTAGCAAATATTTGGATGGGAAACCACAAGAAATCTCAGGGCTATAAACTAGACTAGGCAGTCAAAAAACATCCCTGAAGATCCCAGTGACAAACCACTTCCATACTGTTGCCCAAAATACCCCAAATAAATTTATAGACTTGAGGGAGTCTTACCCATTTTGTAAATGGCTAGACCAGTGCTTTTCAAGCCTGTCAACTTTAAGATGTGTGGACTTCTTAAATTTAAATTCCCCAGCCAGCAATATTAACCGAAAGACATAAGGCACAGAGGCAATTTTGTAGCAGTGCCTGCCCTCTGGAATAAGGTTCTCCCCAAGATCCAGCTGGCCCCCCACTCTTTGCCCAGGCCTTTGGCAAGAGAGAGTGATGACCCTTTGCTTTGTTCCTGGCTGGTTTGTCACTCTTGCCATCTTTTATTTTTCACTTGTTATTAATTGTATTTCTCTTGTTTTAGTTGTTGTGAGCTACCCAGAGTTACTGAGAGTCAAGCAAGCAAGCAAATAAATAAATAAATAAATTCCAAAATCAGCCTCCATGGAGCTGAAAGTTGAAAAGGAAAGTACACTCTTCCTTCACAGAAATTATATTCTATTACTCTTAAATACTTTATCTATATTTGAACTAGGACTAAATCGATAATGCATTGCTTAAGAACGTCAATCAGTTAGATGGATCAGAATTATATCCAAGCCTATCCACCACTATAAGTGCACAGAACTTAATCCTATGAATCTGATCTTGGATAAAGGATTGCACACCTGACAAAATGTTGCTTGGAGAAATGCTCAGAAAATAAATACACAACATTGAATAGATTTCTAAAAATACTGATTTTAAATACTCACAAAATAACTTAGTTATGCCACAATCTGGCATTTTACATAACGTTTTGCCAAGACTGTCCAGGGATTCATTAAAGAGAACAACGAAGAGATTATTTATACTGGAGCATAGGCAATTGCCAAGATGTTTGTTTTTAACGAGACAAGTCCATGTGACTCCTCTCTCTTCAGTGCATATCTATGCAACCAGATTGCCATGGTGCACTGTTGCCACCAGCATTAACACTATCTAAATGAATGCAATATTCCTATCATTAAAAATACTTTTTGGGTTCATATTTATCATCATATTACTGGTATTAATATTACATATTACATTTTAAAGGTCAGAATGTGTTATGTGTGTATCACATTCCACTCACTTCAAAGAATGCCAAAAGGCAGTTGTTACAGTCCCTTTTTTTAAAGACAAGAAGAAAAGATGAAAGGTACTGATTTACCCCAGGGTATCAAAGACTGCGCAGTGGCGATGCTGTAACAGAGGCAAACATTGCTTCAGAACGTATTACTCTAGCACAGATTACTATAGAAGTTTGGCAGGATATCTATAAAGCACACAGAACATTTCCTGTGGGATCAGCTGAGTCCTCTGTTGCAATTATCTTAAAATGCTATGCATCCCTGCAAGGAAAACATCTATGCCAGTCTCAGATCTTCTGTAGAATATGAAGATATGGGATTCAACATTCCACAGAAAGCGAGGATAAAAATAAATGATGAATATGTTACAATAGCTGATTCAAAAGGCAAACCATACTGCAGTCCAAGTAAAACATTTGCCAGCCTGGCAGCTAGCAAAGGAGAGAATCTTGCCCTTGATTTTTTAAGGTCCATGGTCTACCTCCAGAATGAAGAAAAGTCTATTCAGGGACCCTGAAATATTATCTCTGCAGCATCACAGTAAAGCTTACTGTAACATAATCAGAAACATGCCACATTTAACAAACTGGGCTTTTTGCCCAGAGAAACAGATACCGCGGTGGTAAAGGCCTGGTGCCTAATGCTTAAGCTAGCGAAGATGCTACTGTGCTGAACATCACACTAGTGATGGTCAGATAAGGGCAATTTTCTTTCTGCGAAGACTAGTGACTCTTTCCTTTAGCTGTGCCATTGGCTAAAACATGCCCATCAAAGGGAAGTATTAATTCCCAGATCATTACCCGGTGTATTTTTAGCAAGTGAACTTGCAAGTATGACCTTGATGAAGGACTATTTTTTCACCGATAGGGAGAATCAGCTGCCAAGTCTGAATATACCCTGATTTAATAAGATAGAATGCAAATAGACACAATTATTGATTACTTAAGAAGTCTAAAGAACATCCAACCAGTAAAATTATACCTGGACTTTGTTTTCAACCCATTTCCTTCAGATAAATGGTCTTGTATAGAGCTGATGATGGAATTCTTGCCCAGCTTTTATTTACAATGCAGTCATAGTTAAAAAAAAACAACCCACAGTAGATTTTAGTATTACTATTAAGGCTATGCAGATGCCTCATCGAAGTATTTCATTGACTAAGGCAGTGTACCATGCCTCTGAGAGACAGATAACCTTTGAGCCACAGGGCCCTAATTATTATTTCTGTCATAAAAGGATGAATTTGTCAAAATCTAAAGTGCCATCAGTAAAACAATCTATCTAGGAACTATGTTCTCCCATGCAGAAATTAAATAGAGCAAGGAAGACAGGATTGTTTAAATACAGTTATTCAAGTTACTTTATTTCATGGGGCATTTTTATCATTCCAGCTTTTAATTTAAGTGTTTTGTTCCATGTACTAGTACATAACATTTTGTTACATATATTTATGTGAAAACACATTGGTGTTGCTATTTTGCCACTTGCTTACTGTACTTCAAACCAACTATTATTCTTCGATACTTTTTTCAAGCAAATTACCTGTAAGTACCCAGGGAAGACAACTTGAGGTTGGTGTTGCTACTGAGAGTGGCAAAAAGAACTGCATCAGGATATGAGCGGAATTGAATTATAGTATAATTTTTTGTAAATGTATGCAGGTGTATAGGAGTTTTAATGGAGAGAGCTCCTTTGCCTTTGTATATGAGCACGGTCACTCATGCCCTGGTCACCTCCGGGTTGGACTACTGTAATGCGCTCTACATGGGGCTACCCTTGAA